AGTCAGGTTTGGAACGACATGAAGGTCAGCAATCACAGAATTTTCAGTTTTTGGTAAACCTTTTTGGAATCCCTTTCATCTGGGATAGAATAAAACATTTAATATCTAAAAAATGACACAGGTCTTATTCTCTGCTAGAACAGTTTGTTTAGCACTGAAGCAAAGTTGAGAACTGGGCCAGCTGATGGTACTGTTTGCTTCCCCATTTTTAAATGTGTGGTCACAGTGTTGGGCATGACAGTTCCTTTCTCAGGGAGAGCAACATATATAACAGTATCATTATGTGCAGACTGGGAGGGTGAAATTGGTGAGTGGCGCTCTCCCACAATGAAAAACAGAGAGACGGGAGAGATGATGAGTAAGAAAGACAGAAAGAGTCTGCATGGCACTAAATGCGGATGTGTGTGATCCACAGCAGCATCCAGGAACTAGAATTAAGCCTTCACTATATGAAACATCACCAAAAAAAAAAAAAGAGAATTGCTTTTCTAGCAATTAACAGAAACATCTGACATGCATTAGCACTGCCATTCATTTATCAGGCATGTGATGTGAGTGAATAGACACGGTCGGTCCAGCATCTGCGCTGCCGAGAAACACAGAGGAGACATTCAGCTGGATAGATACATGCATGATTATAAAAACATCAAAATGGGATGCAGCGTAAAAGAAAGCGACTGAGATGGTACGGAAAATATAATGCAACCCTAACATTCTGATGAAATCTGAAAGGTTTTTAGTATGGTTTGTAACAAAATGCAGGCTGAACAATTAATGAGCACAAATAGGCAACATGAAAAAGAAGGAGCTATGTTCAGTAAACTACATAATGAATCAATTCAGTCAGCTCAATGCTGTACTACCTGAGAGCACTCATTGCTAAAGCGACCACCCCCCTCTAGCGTTAAGAAAGTGAAGTACTGGTAGATTTTTTTTTCAACCGCTCTGAACACCACTTTAAGCCTTGATCTTAAGTCTCCGTACGTTTTCTTACGGTTCCTTATGAATACAATGAGGTACACTACAATGTATAGAAGCCCATTACTGTCACATAAGAAAAAAAATCATGCTTTGGGAAATTATAACTATGACATAGTGCAGGGGTGTCAAACTCAATTACTGGAGGGCCGGAGCCCTGCAGAGTTTTGTTTCAACCCTTGGCTGAACAATTAATGAGCTATGTTCAGTAAACTACATAATGAATAAATTCAGTCAGCTCAATGCTGTACTACCTGAGAGCACTCATTGCTAAAGCGACCACCCCCCTCTAGCGTTAAGAAAGTGAAGTACTGGTAGATTTTTTTTCAACCGCTCTGAACACCACTTTAAGCCTTGATCTTAAGTCTCCGTACGTTTTCTTACGGTTCCTTATGAATACAATGAGGTACACTACAATGTATAGAAGCCCATTACTGTCACATAAGAAAAAAAATCATGCTTTGGGAAATTATAACTATGACATAGTGCAGGGGTGTCAAACTCAATTACTGGAGGGCCGGAGCCCTGCAGAGTTTTGTTTCAACCCTGCTCCAACACACATACCATGTAGTTTTCAAATAAGCCTGAAGGACTTGATTAGTTGGATCGGGTGTGTTTAATTCATCAAATAGACACCCCTGATATAATGTGTCATGATTTCAACTTTTTAAGTCATAAAAATGACATAAAAGAGATGAAAATTAGATAAAGTCATAAATATGACAGAAGTTATAATTATGACATAAGTCGAAATAAGATTACGATAAGATAACAATCATAATTCTGAGATAAATGTCATAATCATGACATAAAAGCAGGGGTCTCCAAACTTGGTCCTGGAGGGCCGGTGTCCTGCAGACTTTAGCTCCAACCCTAATTAAACACACCTGAACCAGCTAATCAAGCTCTTACTAGGCATGCTAGAAACTTACCAGCAGGTGTGTTGAGGCAAGTTGGAGCTAAACTCTGCAGGACACCGGCCCTCCAGGACCGAGTTTGGAGACCCCTGCATTTAAGTCAATATGTCATAAAAAGTCAAATATCAGAACTATGTCTGTCATGATTTTGACTTTTTAAATCATAATTATAACATAAAAGGGATAAAAATGAGATAAAGTCATAAATATGACAGAAGTCAAATTATGAAGCAAAAAGTCAAAATTCAGAGACAAAAGGTAAAAGATTTTTTTTTAAATGATGGGCTAAAATGTCACAATCATGACATAAGATTCAATGTGTCATAAAAAGTCAAAAATAATTACATTAAAATACAAAAATTATTGGGTAAAAGTGAAAATTAGATAAAAGTACGGTGGCCGAGAGGTGCAGAACAAATCACAATTCTAAAAACAAAATAACAAATTACAAACGCAAATGCAAGTCTACAAAACAAAATAACAATTCAGAAAGCACAACAACAATTCAGAAAACATTATAACAAGTCAGAAAACACAATGACAAATTCAAAAACATTATAACAAGTCAGAAAACACAATGACAAATTCGAAAACAAAATAACAAGTCAGAAAACACAATGACAAATCCGAAAACAAATTACAAAAGTGGCTGTAACACATCAGCTCCAGTGGCGCAGATGGTTAAGTGTGTGCCCTTGGCTTTTTGACACGATCTATCAGGGGTTCGATCCCACCTTTTGCCGAACTTTTCAAATCTCGTATCACATCGTAAAGGCATTGCATTTTCAATAAAAATTAAGGAAAAAATTAAAAAGTTGAAAATAAACTATCGGGTAGGGTTAGGGTAGGTGTAGGGAGGGCTTTATTGTACCAATAAGGTGGCATCCATTTAATAATTAAAATTATTCGAACCCGGGTCGATCGCGTCAAAAAGCCAATGGCACGCACTTATCCATCTGCGCCACTGGAGCTGATGATTTATAACCACTTTTAACTAAATGTAAATATACACCCCATATTTTTTATTCCAGAGTAAGGGCAATTCATACAATACATTTAAACTGAGCTACTTTAATACCATCTCCGAACTTTCTACCACGACTCTGCTGTTCTTCGGCTGGTTCTTCCCTGTATACGTTGATTGACAGATGTCTCGTCCAGTCAGCGGTGAGTAATCCCAAACCAATGGCGCGGTCTCAAACTATACCTACCTCTTCTGGTTTGTCTGATTTGTCACTGTGTTTTCTGACTTATTTTGTTTTCGAATTTGTCATTGTGTTTTCTGACTTGTTATAATGTTTTCTGAATTGTTGTTGTGTTTTCTGAATTGTTATTTTGTTTTGTAGACTTGCATTTGCGTTTGTAATTTGTTATTTTGTTTTCAGAATTGTGATTTGTTCTGCACTTCTCGGCCACCGTATAAAAGTCATAAGACATAAAAGTAAATGTAATGAAAAGTTCTGTCATTATTTTATTTTATTTATTTACTTTTTGCACATTTAATTTAATCACAATGAAAAACAATAATGTTAACACAAAATACTACAGCAATGGCCAAGTTTCTACAGTCAGCAGATAAAATAAATATGTTCACATACCTTGACTACAAATTTAGAAGACTGCATTATGATGAAACACTGCAAAAATCCAAAGAGAATGCGAGTACCATTAACAAAAAATGGTCACAATCTGATAACTTCTAGAGAAACCCAAAAATATGTTTATTGCTGAAAACATAGGCATATACAGTAATGAAACTCAAATGCATAGCGTGAAATACTCACGTGTTTGTGACAGATGCAGTTAGACGAAGTCAAAAGAAGGAAGGGCGGTAAAGTTAAAGCAGAGCTCACAAACCTTTCTTATGATATTGATGGGTTGTTTAGATATAATTTACAATATAGAATTGATTTATTTTTTAAATAAAACGACTCGAGGATAACAATAAAATAGCGATAATGAAAGAAGCTTTAATCATTTTCTCCCGCCGATGGTTTGAAACTTGCCCTCGGACGGTAGGACCCCGGCGCGTGCCGTTGTCATGGAAACACAGTCGGATTTAGGAGGCTGCATACTTTGCCAGACAGTCGCGTTCGTTGTTCCAAGTAAATTGTGAAATATCCATGATGATATATCGCTAAACAAAATTATAGTCTTTCATTTAATGTACAATAATTGCGATTTAAAATCCAATGAGTGTTTTAAGGGTTTCTGTTGTTAAATACTTTATAACTGGCATGTATTGGTCACCATATGATAACATGTTTTAGACGTAAACACCGTCTGCTTGGCTTTTACCGTAAGGTTTTAATTTCCTAAGGTTTTTCTTTCTAATATGTTTAGTTAGTTGCTGGATAAGCTGACCTATAGGGTATGTAAGTTACAAGGCTCACGTGGTACCATTTACACGTCTTATAAATGATATTTCGTTTGTTTTGAATAGAAATCAGGAACGATTTTTTTTTTCATATGATTGCTGTAAAGCCATCAAGTAATTTCAAGATGATTCCAATGGGTAGTTAACGTCAACTACTTGCGAAGTGACATGCTAAGCATTTTACTAACTGTTTTACTATGATTATGCGTGCAGTTTTCGTGACCTTATATTAATTGAATACATAGAATATTTATACTGTTAAAAAATGTACTTATCACACCACGGGGCCATTTAAAATGAACTAGTGAAAGCCAAAAAGGGGAAAAAATTAAGAGAGGACCTAATATACTGTTTCCTTTATGCATTTATAAATTGTAACTTTAAACCTTAATGTTGATTTAAAATAATAATAATAATAATAGATTCATATGTTATGTTTATGTTACGCTTCCCTAACATTGAATGATTATGCGTGCAGTTTTCGTGACCTTATATTAATTGAATACATAGAATATTTATACTGTTAAAAATGTACTTATCACACCACGGGGACATTTAAAATGAACTAGTGAAAGCCAAAAAGGGGAAAAAATTAAGAGAGGACCTAATATACTGTTTCCTTTATGCATTTATAAATTGTAACTTTAAACCTTAATGTTGATTTAAAATAATAATAATAATAATAATAGATTCATATGTTATGTTTATGTTACGCTTCCCTAACATTGATCAATCCACAGAAGAAGAAGAAAATCATCCATAATATTGTACTATTATGTATGTGATCTATTCATTTCTGCTTATTGAAAAGTAACTGACCTGTATAGATAATCTTCAGTAAATTTCTCTGAATGAAACCATATTATGTCTCGAATTTGTAAGAAGAAACCTGCTGTGTGCACAGATGAACCACTTTCCAACAGTAACATCTGCCAAAAGATGGCTCTATTGAGAAATATACTCAGTACTGCCTATGGACCTGCTGGTAGACTGAAACAAATACATAACAATGTTGGAGGCCATGTCTTGACAACTTCAACCTCTACAGCCCTGCTCAAACGAGTAGATATGTCTGAGCCACTTCTTAAAATGATCTCAACTGCTGTTCAACATCACACCGCATGTTACAGTGACTGTGGGCTGTTTTTGGGGATTTTCACACTCAGACTTATTGAAAATACACAAAATAATGGCCTCAGGACAGCTGCAGCAGCCAAGGTATACAAACACCTTGTGGAAGAATGCAACATGTATCTTAAAGGAGACTCTTGTGGTTGTAAAGTGCCAGTAGACTTCAGCAACAGCGATTCACTCATTGCACTGGCTCGCAGCATGATCGCCAGCAAACCTGCCTGTATGTTGAATAGCAGGGAAACAAAGCATATCAGTTCACTGATCGCACAGGCCTTCTTGTATTCCATCCATTGCAACTCATCCGGCGTGAGCTGCTTTGGAAGGACAGTCACCATTGGCATTGAGGGCCAATCAGTGAGCGATTCTTCGGTTTTCCCAGGACTGCTGGTGGATGTCCCTGAGATGCTTCAGCATGCAGATCTTGAGAGACTGGGATCTGGTCCGTTTAAGGTGGTGCTTTTCAGCGTATCACTGTCAGGGGATATCTCTGAGGTTGGAGATGTAACTTTGGAGATCCATAGAGGAGTGGACCCAGAGCGTGATCTCCTTCAGCAGCTCCTGAAGCTTGGGGAACAAGTTGTTATGGACAAAGTGAACTTATTTGCATGCCAAAAAGTAGTACATCCAATTCTCCAGCACTACTTGAGGAAACATGGAGTTGTTGTGATAGAGAGGCTTGGACTAGCCCTTATGGAACCATTTGTCCAGTTAACAGGTAAATATTTAATAACAGTAAGGTATATTTATAGAATTGACTATCAGTTTAGAGCTGTTACCGAGTTTAATATAGGTTTAACATATGTCCAACAATTACTGTGAATTACATAATACACATTTTACATTTTGTATTTAAAAAATAAAGTTAATACTATGTTTTAACCATTTTTTAAAATAATAATGGCAACATTTTATACATAAAAAATACATTAATGAAAATGTATATATTATTGCCAGGGAAAATGTATTTATAATTATGATTGTTATTAATTAAAGCCATGCCTTCTTTGATTAATATATTGGTAATAATATATAACATCATACATACAATAGTATTGAAAATAAATTAATTTGATTAATTTACAGCTTTATTTTAACTCTGTGTTTAATATTTCAGGTGGTCAGGCTATTGCTTCTCTTTGCTCTTCAGTCCCAGTGGAAGCTTACGGGATGGTTAAAGAATTCTGTTTGCAGTCATGTGGATCCAGAGAACTCTTCCAGCTCCTTCCTTCTAAAGATGCTGCAGTTACCACCATGGTTCTCTGCCACAGAAATGAAACTATGCTGGAAGAACTGAAGGTTTGTTAAAATAGAGATCTTTGTGTTAATTTCGATTATTTTCATTTATTTGCACCAATATAATTGTTATTATGTTGATTAATTCAAACACACAGCTTGAAATAATTCACCAAAATGAAACCTACCAACTCTAATGCCATTTTGCTGCTAAAATTTAAAACATGTCTTAGATGTGTTTAAAAACATCTGTTTGAATGCTTTTATACTCTTGAATCATGAAACAAGGAAGAATCTGACTAGTAGGAAACTAATGGCCAAATAAAAGCTGCATTAAAATCATCAGAATATTCACAGCTCTTACTTTTTTTGCCGGTAAAATCAACACAGATATCGTGAGTGTGCAATGTATTGTCCCGCTCTATTAAAGGGGTCATATGATGTGATTTCAATTTTTCCTTTCTCTTTGAAGTGTTACAAGCTCTTGGTGCTTGAAGAAGATCTGTAAAGTTGCAAAGACTAAAGTCTCAAATCCAAAGAGATATTCTTTATAAAAGTTAAGAGTCAACCACGCCTACCTAAAATGGCTCGTTCTAACACGCCCCCACATGTCTACGTCACGATGTGGGAAGATTTGCATAACACCGCCCAAATGTTCGCGCAAAGAAAGAAGGCGTAACTTTTATTCTCGCTGTAGTATTGTTGCCGCCGCTGCCATGACGTGAAGGCACTGTGTGTTTCGTTGTGAAAGCGAAACTACTTTGTTTGGCCTTCCAAAAGAGGATGATATCCGCTTTGTCATGCCTAGAGCTGATCCATGCTGGTCGCTGAGGAAATACATGAACTTTGCGCTGTAGATCGCCGGATCGGCTTTCACCGTGGACAAGCGGAGTCCAGCCCGGGGTCGTCACATGTGGTTGCCACAAACCCGCCGGCCACTCCTTCATCGAATCCTCCGGCCGTGCCGTTCTCAAGCCCGCCGGCCGTTACTCACTCTAGGCCGCCGTGTGTTTCGTTGTGAAAGCGAAACTACTTTGTTTGGCCTTCCAAAAGAGGATGATATCCGCTTTGTCATGCCTAGAGCTGATCCATGCTGGTCGCTGAGGAAATACATGAACTTTGCGCTGTAGATCGCCGGATCGGCTTTCACCGTGGACAAGCGGAGTCCAGCCCGGGGTCGTCACATGTGGTTGCCACAAACCCGCCGGCCACTCCTTCATCGAATCCTCCGGCCGTGCCGTTCTCAAGCCCGCCGGCCGTTACTCACTCTAGGCCGCCGTGTGTTTCGTTGTGAAAGCGAAACTACTTTGTTTGGCCTTCCAAAAGAGGACACAACTAGAAATCAGTGGTTAAGTTGTATTTACAACACTGTTCCAGAACAGTACAACCCAAATATTCAGATGTGTGCAGCGCATTTTGCGGAGGATGAGGACTGTTTCCTGTGAGAGTAGCCTACAGTGCCGGTGTCTGTTTCTATAAAGTGGGGCAGTTCCAACTTTGCAATGACAGTCTGGCGCTTCTGACTCACAGCTTGTAAGTACGATTTTTATATTTAAAGAATTTGTCACTGGCGATTTCAACGCGAGTTTTGAGCAGTGTAGAGTAGCACTTGTTGTTTGTCATTTCTCCAGACATGGTTTTATGTTTACGCAGCGCGATACAAGTAAAAAGACAGTAAAAGTCATTATAATCAGTAATTATGTCCCCACTGGACTTTTTTTGTCTTGTCACTGGTTTTGTCTTGTCGCGCCAGGACACTGCATCACAGTATGGTAAGGGACGTAACATTTCCGTCACACGCTTGAGGTATTCGTCCAATCACAACACACTGGATAGCTGGCCAATCAGCGTACACCTTGCTTTTCAGACCGATGAGCTTTGTAAAAATCGACGCGTTTCAGAAAGGCGGGGCATAGAGGAGAAACAATAATGTACATTATGTGGAAAATAATGTGTTTTTTTTTACCTTAAACCACATAAACACATTTCATTACACCAAATACACAAAATAATGTTCTTTTTAGCAACGTCATATGACCCCTTTAATAAACCCTGTTTGTACTGTCTTCGCACTCATTCTGTTGGGTTTATTTTGGGTGTATTCTTCCCTCTCTTAGTTCTCCAAGCTATTTATTTTGTTTCTTGTATTTTAAAGTTCCAATTTTCTTAGTACTGTATATAAAGCCATGATCCGTACTCAACAAAAATAGTCTTCTTTTTGCATTTTATTTTACATTCATCACCAGTAGGACAGAACACTTTTGGCTTTATTAATTAAATTGTCTGATTGTAGAATTGTGATAAATATGGTATTATGTAATGTATTGATGGATGTGGAGGTTTGTGTTGTATACAAATGGAAATTGTCTAGCATTTAAATGGATTACGTGTGCTTTTAGTGATTGAAGATTGGTTAATGAATGATGATGTCAATTTAATTAACGATTTAAAAAGTGGGTGAAGGGATTGAATTGTTTAACACACTGAAGAAGGCTTTCAGCCTAAACGTTTGTGTTCTGTCCTACTGGTGATGAATGTAATATAAAAAGAAGAATATTTTTGTTGAGTGTGGATCATGGCTTTATATACTAAGTAATTTAGCAGATTGACGCAGCAAAATAAAATATTAAGTGACAAAAGAGCGAGGTGCAAACGGCTTTTGTGGAACTAAGTTCCCGTTTTCTTTGGATTTAAATTTTTTGCATTAATTCCCTCTTTCACTTCTCTCATGTGATGAACATTGTTCCATTTGTTGGACAGATGACATGCAAGAGAGCAGAACATGTGTTGCGGCTGACTCTGAAGGAGCCCTACGCCCTGCTTGGAGGAGGCTGTACAGAGACACTGCTGGCCACCCACATCACACACATGGTATTCTATTCCACGGAGTTACACATCACATTCAATTGCATTTCTACAGTATTGAATAGAAAGTTCCACTTGTCAGAATTTTATGAAAAGATTCATGCATTATGCATTACTTTTTCAGAGGGATTAACTGGAATTTATTTTCAAGGCTTGCCAAGCGCCACATTTCTGCCTGACTAGATTTTTAAACCTTTCCAATTAGATTTTTTTTTTTTTTGAGACCTTACAGCTTTTGTTGGATTGTCCCCAATTTTGAGTTAAATCATTTTGAGCAAAAAAAAGGTGTGCACAACCAAAATCCAACAACAACAATAAACTACAGAAGTCTGCATGCTGTAATTAAAGCTCCAGAAATGTTACAGAAAATTACAACCAGGCACAACATTTCATCCAGTTAGGCCTTCATGAAGCACCTGATGTCAAAACATTGCATTTGGTTGGAAAGAAATTTTTTTTTTTGTTTGCCGACATACTGTTTCTTTTTTATTATTATTAATTTTATATCATTTTGAGGCCATGCTAGTCAAAAGTCTGAGTTCATACTCAGACCAGTCCACACAAAATTGTAAGATGCCAATTTAATTTATTTAGCTGAATGTTGTTTAACTTTTATTATTAATTAGTGGCAAATCTACAGTCATGGCCAAAAGTTTTGGCAGTGACATAAATTTTGTGTTTTGCAAAGTTTAGGCTGGTGTGGTGCTCATTCACATTGTTTCTAGACTATGTAGAGTGATCAGATGCATTTTAAATAATTGCTAAAAGCTTCGTTAGCCAAAAAATGAACTTTTCACACAAAAAAAAACAATTTTCACTGTTTTTTGATCCTGACACAAAATGATCAGCTAACATTAATTGACTAATCATATCAGCAGCACATGTGAACGTGTGAATGAGTACTAGTCAGGTGAAATCACTATCATACTAATTAGATTGTAAAAGCAGACTGATATAAAAGGAGGGAAGAAGCGCTTCCAATCATTGTGTTCTTGTTAGCAATGGTTACTTCCAAAGAAACATGTGAAGCCATCATCACTTTGCATCAAAATGGCCTCACATGCAAGGAAATTGCTACAAATAATATTGCACCTGAACGAAATATTTACCAGATCATCAAGAACTTCAAGGAGAGAGGTTCGACTGCAGTGAAGAAGTCTTCAGGACGTCCCAGAGTGTCCAGCAAGCACCAGGACGTCTCCTCCTGAGGAGTCAGCTATGGAATTATGTCACCACCAGTGCAGAGCTTGCTCAGGAATGGCAGCAGGTTGGTGTGAGAG